CAAAGTGAGTGGAGGAAAGAAGAAAAAAGTCTGTACGGTGTACAGGGAAACAGGAAGGACCAACCTGAAATCTCCTCTGGGTCTTTCTTGATTCCCTCATCAGTTGCCATAGTGACTGCTGCTGTCATAGCAGAATTCCATTCAATTCCTTCTTCTACACTTTCCTCAGACACTGCAATTTGTGTGATGCTTCCTGCACGAGAGAAGACCATGATACTTTGCTGCCACAGTAGCACCTCACCCACTCACATACCTAGATGATACATTAGGTTAAGTCCTGTTAAGCCAACTATTCATCTGCAATTCAATGACTTGTGGAAGAATAATTGGTAGGGTTCACCCTATGTTATGCCATGGTTTCCAAATCGTAATAGCTGGGATTATATAAAACACAGCTCAAACCAAACAAAGCAGGTCTTAGTGTTGCATGTGAATTCAGTCATTCCAGGCTGGACTTGCCCACCTGGCACTCTTAGGATATGTGGGGGTGGGAGTTTGTCAAATTCTCAACCAGCATGGTCTCTGTGCTGGCTGGACACTTTGAGAGTTGCAGTTCTGGCATATCTGGAGGGTGCCAGATGGGGCAGGTTACTGAAGGCTGCTTTGGGTTGATCAACTTATCTTTGGGGATGGCACAATAGAGCCACTGCTTTTGAAATGTTATGTAAGCTCTGTAGATGCTGCAATGAATGAGGAAATGTTTGAGTATAACCACCAGCTTGTATACTTTATACCAGCATCTTTCAACCTTGGCAATTTTAAGATGAGTGGACTTCAACTCCCAGAATTTCCCAGCCAGCATGTATTGTAACCAAATCTTGACAACCTATCAAAGCCCGTGTCTATTTCAACTTATACCTAACCTAATCAAGGCAGAGTTTTGAGAGTCATTCTCATGCTTTCTCCTTTCCAAGGACTGAGATATATTTTTGTAGCGCCTCCACATTCTCCTGGCATTCCATCACACATAGCTTTTAAAGATTAAAAGGAAATGTTAGGCTTACTCTAAATGGAATTTGTGCAAGGTATGCAAAGAGATACCTACACTCAGTAGGTTCCGTCAGGACAGTGTAAGCTGAATGTGCGGTGTAACAAGCTGAGATCCAGCAGTGGTGGAAGGATTTTTCTAATAAGCAAATCCACAGAGTTTCCAAAAAAAGACATACAAATTAGGAGAAAGATTTGCCCTACTCCCACTTCATTGTTCTTTCTCTGGAAAAAGAAGTGAACTCTTCCTTGCAAGTAAATGAAACCTCAAGCATAAGGAACTGGAAGAAGCCCTCCTTCAGATACAACCAGCCCATTCAGATCACTCCTCCTGAGCTGTGATAGTGATGGTACCACCATATGTGAGATATGGGGTGGGGGTGCCAAGAGGCAATGTTTTCAGTCACTACTCCCTCCCTGTGGGATTGCCTCTCCCCAAAATTCAAATGGCATCCACTCTGATGATCTTTAGGAATGTGGTTAAGGCACATCTTTTCTGCAAAGCTTTTTAATATCTAGGATACCATTATATTGCAGACACCAGGGTGAATTAATGATTTTATATAATGTGATTTGTTTTTACATATTTTTCATTGATTTTACGAAAGACTGTTACCTTTGTGTATATATACAGAGGGGGGGCGGGATGGATGGATGGGTAAGGGTTAGGATTAATGACCAAGGACTATACCAATCAGCAGGAATTAATTTTTTTTCCTGTTTCCTACCATCAGCAGAAGTGGGAGTCTGTACCAGGCTTTGTTGTCCTGGTACTGGGGCCCTGGCACTGCTGAACAGGAGGTCAAACTTGGTGCTTCTGCAGGTGTTGGTACACACTTTGTCATGCTGATAGAAGTCAATTTGTCCAGAGTCCATCATCTTTCTGCACAATGAATGAAAAACAAAACAGTCATCTCAGGGGGATGAAAATCAATTCAAAGAATTGCCCAAGGGAAAAATGTAAAAAGATTAAGCATTTTTGGTAGGATACATCAGATGATGCTCAGTCCCATTTAGCTTATGCATAGCTGCAGTCATATAATTCAGGGCAAGGTGAATAATATGAGGTGCTTGGTTCTGTGTCATGAGAAATTCCTCTTTCTTTCTTGAAAAATTCATTCAGCAGTATGGTAAGGAATAACAACTACAATTTACTGGGCCCTCCAAAGTGGCCCTCATTATTCACTGGGAGCTGTTTCAGCCCAAAGACTGTGGATAATAAAACCATGGATAATGAGAGCTTGAAAAAGCGTACTTTACGCCTGGGCAAAACACCTCCACCATTTTGTGCAAGCTAACATAGCCAGAAAAACTCTCCAAAAGTCCTCTCCCAAACAGAACCACACACCAAACCTTTTACTATTGATAACAATGTCTAATTTGTATACCAGTCATGGACACTTGAAACTGCAGGTAATGGAACCATGAATAACAGGAGCCACCTGTATAGATCAAAGTCTTATTCCAGAAGACTTTACATTCTATATACTGTAAAACAGCCCATGAAATCACTGGGACATTTCCTCCCACGAAAGATCCATATTTCAAAATACATAGGGCCAAACTCTCAGCACCACTTTTATTTGGCAGGAAATGAAAGGT